CCAAAATATTAAAAGTGTTAAAGATAATGAGAATAATATGCACAATAAGCATATGACTGATGATGAAATTACAGGACTTATACTTGATGTCGTTGCTGGTGGTGTTGAAACGGTAATGTTGAAAATTTATCAAGTTGCTTGTTACTGTGAATGGAACATATACATTCTAACATCCTTTTTAAATTATGTTCTTTAATCATATATTTAAAGACACCAAGTGCGATTTGTTATATCATATATTACATTGAACATCATCCAGAAGTAAAGCAACGCATGCTAAATGAATTGGATCAAACATTTGGTCCTGATTCCGACTATAAAATTGAGTTGGATGATATAAATCAACTCAAATATTGTGAAGCAGTCATAAAAGAAGGTATGAACATAAAATTATTTTGTAAATAAAGCTTATTGGAAAGTTTTCATTTGTGAACTCTGTTCAATTTATAATTAATTTGATTGATTAATTAATGTGCTAATTTATTATACGAAACTAATATTTTATATCCTTTTTTTTTTAATAACAACAATAAATATACACCTATTGAAAATGTCGCATTATATTTAAGTAATGCGTATATACTCAATAACCTCGTCGAATTTTAGAATGTCAAATGAGCCTTTCGAAATCAATTCTTGTGTTTTCCCAAAAAACACGCAATTTATAATTAATTCTTCAGTTATAAATTCTCATCCTGCCCATTGGACGAACCCTCATGAATTTAAACCTGAAAGATTTCTTCAGACTGTTAGTGATTCATCATCTATTGATTCGAGAAAATCTAATCAATATTTTCAGGCTTTCGGAGGTGGGCTAAAAATATGTCCTGGAAAGAACTTTGCGATGATGCAAATGAAAACCTATATGGTATTATTGTATCGACGATGGACTGTAGAATTGATAGATATGAGTGCACCAATAAAAAGCCACTACGCTACTACCAAGAGTTGTCAGCAGTTAGAGGTTAGGATTCGGAGGAGAAAATTTCCTTAAATATTTTTATCATCTTTCTTTTTTATAATTGAAGGATTTTTTTATTTTTATTATTATAATATCTTGCTTCCATATTATAAAAACTACACTTATGAGCAAGTAGATAATAATAAGCATTGTCATTACTGTTTATACAAAAATTCAAAAACAAGTTACCTAAGTTATCTAGATTCCCTAGGTTACCTGGTAATAGTGTTTTAACTTAAACCATTTACAAAGTCCAAATGTTTCGCCTTGTTTCAAAATCTGCAATTGACGAAATTGACGAAACCTTCGAAATTAACCTCTGAAACTGGGGGCTTCCGAAACATTTCAAGTCAATATTAAGTAAAAACACACTTGGACTTCAAAATTTGGCACTTTTCAGAATTAGCCACTAAAAAATATGGTTAGAAACGTATGATACTATATTCAACTAAAATCACATATACTATTAGTATTCCGGTGGCATCTGTTTCTAGTTGTCAAAAAATTTTTTATTCGGTTTATTGATTAGACTTTTAGGGCTAAAGCCCAAAACATGATTTTTTTCTTGACAAAAAAATTATTGATTAGATTTTTAGGGCTAAAGCCCAAAACATGATTTTTTTTCTTGACAATATTCTTTTATATAAAAGGCTCATGAAATTTGTCCTTTACACTTCTTGCAGATAAATCTAGGATTATAAAATTATAGTTACATAGCAAGAACTTATACTAGCAAGACATTAATGAATCAACTAACGATATTAATGTCACTTATATTTAATGCTATTAAAACTTGTTTACTAGCTTGACTGCAGTAATATTTTAATAATAAATTTATATCAAGAACGGAGCGATATGTAGATATCACAAAAAATTTTGTACGTACGTACAGTACATACCTCATTAGATGATGCATGTGCGTTCGTAAGTACATACATTATTACTACGTATAAATATTTACAAAGTAGCAAGGCATATAACAATAATCAAAATTATAGATCATTTAACCATAACTGGCAAAGACCTTTGCGCCAGATGTTTAAGTGACTGTATATTTATAAATCTGCTATGATTTGTGGTTCTGATTGAAATATCTGTTGTATTAACATAATACATAATATACAATATTGAACTAAAATACATATAAACTTTATTTTTCCTTTAATAAAGATCATTCTAAACATAGAATCATTATAAGAATAATTTCTAATGCTTGATATAGTTTTAGTTTGTTTTGAAGACAAAAGTAATAACAAAATTCTTTGTACCTATTTAACTTTCTTAATGTATCGTCAAACATTATAGAAGATAAACGTTTGTGATATTATATAAGGTTATTATCGTTTAAATAATATAGCTGAAGTGTGAGGAAAAACTAAAGAAACTAGAAAGTTTAAAGAATATGAATTTGAAAGCACATAAAAATTCTGGTTTGCTTAATTTAAACCTGTATAATAGATAGATATTCCTATGTCTAACGAACAGAGGAAACGTCCAAATATAGATATGATTTTCATTCTCCGTTACACAGATCACTCATTGTATTGACCAGTCAAAATAT